GAAAACAATATATTCAGCAAAGAGACTCTTTTCAACAGCCAATTTATTATCAAGCAGTACAATCATATATGCGCGTTGAACGACCGATGTACTGTGGGTGGCACCGCAGCAACAGGTGTACTGATATATACTTATAGAAGTAGTTAGGTGAAAGATCTTGTTGTTTGGGCCTCTGCAGATCACTGGGCGTCGGTGGCATGGCGGTTTGGACGCTCGCCGACCATGCATATGGTCCGGGGTTCGATCCCCGGCCGGCGTACTCGACTAATTTTTTGGGTGACTTAAAATGCATGAATTTAATGGCAGCAAGTAACAGATGCGTTGGTGGCACCACTTCTAATATAATGGTAACAATTCTGTTGATTAGACTTATTTTTTTGCTTGTTTGCTTGTTTTTTCTAACTCCTAACTACTTAAAACTACTGCGTAATTCCGTGTTTTATTTGATTTCCATGTGCACCCTGAGGACAACGCTTTCATCAAATCATTCATGTTGTTATTACGTAACTCCTCTTTAATAGTCGTTTGTGACAGACAACTCATCACTTTTGTTACCACCCTCTTATGCCAACATTTAATTCCTTTGAACGCTTTTCTGTATTACGTAACTCCATGAAAAAAACTTACTGAATTTATTTTAATTTGACAAATTTAAAGTACGCAAACATACAAAATAACCATATATATATATATATATATATATATATATATATATAATTAACCAAATAATAGAAAAGATTTGCAACTCAGGTGGATGATTTGCAATTAATAGTGTTCTCTGAGTTGGTTGGTTTAGTCCAGAAAGACGACGAAAGCTCCGCAACTAAACCAACCAGCTCAGAGAACACTGAATTGCAAATTAACCAAATACCGTGTAATACTGGCTGACGGCGAATGAGGTGAGTTACATTGACCCCTTCAAACTAGTAGTAGATTAGGGTCAACTAGATTATTGGAACATAAAAATTTAACCAGATCTAGAATATTTGACCGTGCTAAGTGTGTAGGTTAAATAACCTAGAAAAAACAGAGATCAGCCATTGCAATGCGTGGAATTCACTTGCATGGAATCACAAAGCAAATAGGTTGGGTTGGATGATAATAGGGTGACAGTATTGAAAAGTTATATAGTTACTTAGGTGGAGTGAGAGACACAGAGAGAGAGAGAGGTTAATTAGTCACTGAAGCTTTGTTTATCATCGACTCGACACCACACACACACACACACGTGCGACAATCGGAATGACATAACGCCACCGCCGCCTATACCGGAGATTCGCGAAGTGGTAAAAAACAACACGCGGGTGAAGTTGAAGAGACAGAAAGAGAGAAAACATTCGTAAAAGAAAAAAATATGGAGACCTGTGGCTAAATTCATGTGATTATAAATGGCAATATTTTATGTATTTCGAAACCTTGTCATGCAGTTGTGAATAGTGCATTATCAATCTCTTTGTGATACTTAAAATAAACTTGTCTAAAAATGGAATTACATATTTTATCACTGGATTGCCCAAGTTCTAATCTTACATTAAAGTACTTCTGATTAATTTTATATGAGAGGGGATAAATGTCCTCAACACTGTAGAACTTGAATCTCTCAGAAATGATGTGTTGTTGAGTCAAGGGGAGGATGCTGACAAAATGCAGAGTCTTCTGAACACCTTGAGCAGCAATCTTCGTATGTTTGGCATGCGATTCGCCCCTGCAAAATATAAGATACTGCTGCAGGACTGGACTACGTCAACTCCTAGCCTACTGATAGGGAGTGAAGTGATAGAACATGTTGACCACTTCACCTATTTGGGAAGTTGTATCAGCACCAACGAACTGGTTGGCGACGAAATCTCAGCACGGATTCAAAAGGCTCGAGTTGCTTTCGCTGACTTACACCATCTCTGGCGTAGGCGTGACATCCGGTTATCAACCAAGGGACGTGTGTACTGTTCAGCACTTCGCTCCGTCCTTCTCTATGGCTCTGAAACATGGCCAATACGAGTTGAAGACATGAAAAGGTTGACTACTTTCGATCATAGATATCTACGATCTCTTTCTCACGTTAGGTGGTATAATAAAGTAAGGAATGTTGACGTTAGGCGTAGAGTGTTGGGCTAACAGTGAAAATCAATTGACGAGGCTATAAAGTTACATAGATTGAGATGGCTAGGTCGATCAGGTGCTGTGCATGCCTAACCATCGCCTCCCCCGATGACGGGCATTACTAGCTGATATAGGTGCAGGTTGGAAAAGAGTAAGTAGTGGCCAAACAAAAACATGGCCTCATCAATCCATGAAATCCTTGACAGTTAAACTGAGTCAGGTAGGTAGGAGATGGAGACTTCCCGGTTGGGGCCCTCGGGACTGACTCTGGGAATCAATGGCTGGAGACAATATGTGACACATGGCTCAAAGTGATCGTTGTCAATGGCCAGCGGAGATGTATTCAGTCTCTGTAATCTTTCATATTCCTTTCTACCATTACCCATTCTGTTTCACTCTTATACCTATCAAACTCTATTGATTCTCTTCACTCATCCTTTTGTCTACTTTTGTGTGCTATTTGGAACGTGGCAACTCGAACTGGTGTACCGGTTATTATTATCAACACTGGCATAACATTTGATGATGTTTAACCAATGCAGAGATTCAAATGTGAGATATGATCAACTCTTGTAAGTGGCATAAATGAGTGCCCTTCACCAGAGAAAAATAAAGACCAAAAAAAAATGGTGAATTAGCTTGAATTCGCCCTCTGTTCCACTGTTCAGATGAGATTATCTGAACTGAACCAACACACACATTCACCATCGTGTTGTGATTTTTTTCAGCTTTTTTAAGATGGATGCTGTTCTTGCAAGCACATAAGTTGACGAGAACTGGTCGCCATGTTTTATTTTGTTGTTGTTGTTGTTGTTGCTGCTGCTGTTGGAACTAAGTGAATAATAACCACTACACTTAGATCTTGTATATATCTCTCAAAGATACTGTAACAGCAGAAGGAAAGACACTCAGGCCAAGGTTTTTTGTCAAGTGATCGAACAGCTGTTTATGTATATATCTATACAGTTTATAATTATTAAACCAAATCACTGAGGGTGTGATTTTGATTTACATTAAACGACATGAAATAGAATGTTCAGATACACGTATATATGAAAACAAAACACGTAGATCAGCGAAGAGTCTCTTTTCGGCGAACTCATTTTCTTAGCTGTACAATCGCAAATATATATGCATTGTTTTGTACACATACATACAAAACAATGCATATATATATATGCGATTGTACAGCTAAGAAAATGAGTTCGCCGAAAAGAGACTCTTCGCTGATCTACGTGTTTTGTTTTCATTAATGCCTGGATGGGGATTATCCATGAATTGACACGTATATATAGTTTTCTATCGCTAATTCAGTATTGAACTGTAGGAATAGTATTATATGTGAGAATAATATTCCGTTGGAGTACACAGTGTCTGTTACACACCATCACAATACAACAGACCAGAATTTTGACTAATTAGGCCTACTGTCTAATCTGACATGCTGTTGACAGGTGGTTTGATGTGAATGCTTGCAGCCTTGTTTTTTATACAATCAGAAATGAATCTTTCCTTGGCTAAATTTCTTGGTCATAATCTCAAAGTTATTGAAAATGATGCGAAAAAGAGTGTTTAGGGATCATGAGGATGTGAAGAGTGTGCGGTTAGTGAACAAAAGAGGTCTGTTGTTTTCAGATGACGACCTTAAGATGGTTGTTATCTGTGGTTAACTTGCAGTCCAATGATAAAATGATCGTTATCAATTTGGATTTTTGTCGTTCATTTGGTTATAATTCCAGAGGTTGCCGTTTCGTGTGCTGCGGTGATCTTGATTTTCACCAATTCATATTGAATCATCATACAAGAACATCTAACTAACTGACTGGTGTCAACGTAATACTTTACACAGATGTGAATCAGTCTGAGTTGCCATATTTCACTTGGTACACAAAGCAAGAGAAGAAAGTAAAAAGAAATTCAAAATAGAAAGAGACAGAGAGATAATAAACAGAGATATGAGGCAAAAAGAATAGTTGTAATGTGGAAGAACCATGTAGTTTTATTGGATATTATAATTAACAGTGAGTAGATGCATCTGAGCCAGTCAGCCATTACCGAAAACGATCACTTTGAACCAACCATATAATCACCAATTTTCTCCAGCCTTCATTGGCTCTCACCACCATCCTGAGGACCCCAACCAGACAGTCAGTCAGGAAGTCCACACCCTCCTACGTAGCTGGCTGGTTGGCTGGCGTAAAATAACTATCGTGGATTTCACTGAGTGGTGATGAAGCCATGTTTTGTTTTGACCACCAACCTGATGCATTCCGTCAGCCAGCTAACATTGCTCATTGTCAAGGAAGGCGATGCCCAGTCATGTATGCGTAACACATGTTCTAACCATCCACCTCAATCGATGTAACTGCTTCACAACCTTGTCTATTGATTTCTTTATCTAGCAGTCGACTGACGCGTAAGCTTGATATTGTTTACCCTGTTACACCTACCACTTCACACAGGAGACAGACCGCAGACAACTATGATCAAAGACAGCTAGCTAGCTAACTAGGCTTTTCATGTCTTCCACTTTCAGCGGCCACCTCTCACAGCCAGTCGGCCATAAAGGAGGACGGAGAAAACTGCTGTGGAGCAGTACACACACCCTTCGGTCGACAGCCAGTCAGCCGGATATCGCGTCTTCTAAACCAGAGATGGCGTAAACTGGCATAAACTGCGAAACGAGCCTTCTGTATCCGTACCCACCTGAGATTTCGTTAACGATCAACTAGCCGGCGTTGGGGTTGGCTGGATTGATGCAACTTCCTTAAATCTATTTTTGGTATTATTTATTTACAAAAATGATATTGTCTACAGACAAAATAATGCTTCGACAATATTATGATATTATTTGTGTTTTGCTACATCTTGTATTTCTTTTCCTACTTCTCTTTCACCAGGGTTAGTGAACAGGTGACAACTAAAGATTCTGCCAAAGTTGAAACGTGTTGCAAACAGAAATCCACCAAAAGTAAATTGTTAGATGTATATGGTTAGTTATTGTTTTAATGACTATATCTTATTTTGGAGTTATACATACATACATATATATAAGGATTACGCGTACAATTCCGACTTAATTCTTTGAAATAAATAATCACTTTTTAAGGCGCGTTTCTTGGTCGAAAATTAGTACTGAGTAATACCTTCTCTCTTAACAATACTGAACAGACTGTTAGCTGCTAGCTTGATATCAACGCACTAGTACCTTTGATTTCAGTGCTAAAGTGTCTAGTCAGTTTCTATGGATTGGACACTAGCTATTGACTAATGTCTAATCCCACTGTCTAATACCGTATTACAGGAGGTTAAAGAATGAGACATTATAGCTCAGTAGTAACTTTTCTGATTACAATACTCAATCAGAAGGCTGCAGATATACACCTTACTGACTGGTGACTGACAACAAGCAGGAAACATAAGTCTTGGTCTCCCTGTGACCGATTGCCTCCAACTATCTAATATCGTTTAAACTACTTCGGGAGGTGTAGACTTCCTGATTGATTAGGGTCCTCGGGATGCCAATGACCAATGAAGGCTGGAGATAATTGGAGATGATATGGCTGCCTCAGAGTGATTGTTCATGGTGATGGCTGGCGCTGGATGTATCATATCCAATAAAATTCCGTTCAAGTGTTGTTTTGCTTGGATTCGATTGATTTCAGTATTTCATCATGAACTGACATCGGTTAAAAGACCATTGGAAAGTCAGCTGGGAGAACTGGGCACCTGTTTTCGTCCTAGTTAGGGACGGGATGAATGTAGGCTTTAGTGGGTGCGTACTGTAAAGAATCCCAAACTAGAATGATACGGCTGTCCAATACTCCTAGTTATTTTCCAGTGGTCCTCTAACTGATGTCTGTCCACGATGAAATCGGAAAAACTCTCTTGTTTTTTCCATATCACTGTTCTTTTTCCCTCACACTTCTGTTTGTTATCTTTCTTTTGAATCTCTCTTTACTCTCTTCTCTTGTTTTGTGTGCTACATAGATGGAGTGTAGTAACTCAAACTGGTGCACATCTGTGCTAAGTTCTATGCTGAAACCAGTCACTCAGTCAGTCATTTAATATCAATAGTTCCATGTTTGTCTAACCAGCAAATAATAATCAGAAAGATTGAAAAGAACAAGAAGTTCAGCAAAGATAGCGACTTTTTCGGAGATTTCATTCTCAAAACCAGCTATACAATCGCATTTATATAATATAGATTAGTTTACATGGATACAATTATTATTGTTATTTGTTTGATGAATTCCACATAGTAACGAAGGTGATAATAATCTTCAACTTGATATGAAAGTTTCAAGGTACGAATATAGATTATAGATTACAAGGGGCTTAGAGACAAGATTGCATAGGATTAGAAAATACACTTACAACGTATGCAAAATTAATATTTGATAACTGGAGAAATAATAGTTTTAAAGGCGAATCAAAGGTGATAATTGTTTTCAACTTGATATGAATTACAAGAGGCTGAGAGACAAAAATTACACAGGGATAGAAGGAATTACAGGTGTGAACAGAAATGAACATGAAAACAAATTGAAGTCAAAATTCTTTTGTCAACTTAAAATGTAAGCTAGGAGGTGTGTGTGAATATCGATTCCAAGAGGCATAGAAACAAAATATTACACAGGATTAGAATATAACTGTAAAATGGTTATTGTAAACGGATTACAAGTGTGACCAGGAGGAGCATGGAAACAAATTGGAAATAACTGATTTTAAGATGAATTGAATGAAGCCGAAGAGAGAAAATTACACACACACAGAGAACAAAACAAGAAAAAGTGAAGGATAAGGGAACATACCGAACTAGATCCATGGTAGTTGTATAGGCTGGACTAGTTCTTTTGAACATATAGCTCCGGCTTTTCGATGCATATGGTGAGAGCTTCCGCAGTGCAAAGAAGTTGGGAACACACTGCCTTTGGTAGATTTTTTGTTTACTTTGTAAATGACTCTGAATGATGAGTCAGTTGAGATTCTGTGACAGGTATTGACGAGATGTTAATTTATCGCGCTTCTGATTGAACTAGTGCCTCCTCTTTGCAGCCGTGCTGGATGATGTTCTCTAACTGGTTTTGATAAGACCCGCATAGAACGACCTATGCACCTAGCTTCGCAAGAGCAGGTGAACTGATATATGCACATTGGAGTGGTCATATGCGGAAGTCTGTCCTTCCCGTTGCTCCGAAGTAGTGGGCGGCTAGAGAATATCACTGTTAGAGTTGGTGCCGGAAAACTCTTCTCCAGGGAATTGGAGATTCTCGTTTTAAGGATATCTGCTGCTAGGTCTCCCCCGAATTCGAGACTCAAATAGAGTGTCTTCTTATGCACTGACGTGCATTCTTCTCTTTTTGGCCTTGGTTTCATGTTATTCTCCACGAAACCCGGTGGGTATTTGTTTTGAACCAGGATGGTTTTGAGAAATAGTAGCTCTTCTTCTAAACACTCATCGCTACACATTCTTCTGGTACGGTGGGCTAGCGAGATTATGAGAACTATTTTACGGATGATAGGTATCCAACTGTACAAGTTTGTCAGCTGGCCATCCCATGTTGGCTTCCTATGGATAGATCTTGTGAGAGTTCCGTCATCTCTACTTGTCAATTCGACGTCGAGGAATGGAATCTTTGATTCATTCTCGACTTCCATTGTGAATTTTATTGAAGGATGGCAGTTATTAAACTCCTGTAAGATACAATTTAAATCGGAGTCATCATGACAAACTATGAAAGTGTCATCGACGTATCTTTTTTACAGAAGCAATTCGCCTGTTGTTGATTTTAAGATGCCGTTTTCCAGGCTGGCCATGAAGCAGTCTGCCAAAAGTGGGCCAAGGCGAGAGCCCATAGCAATCCCGTCTTTCTGTCTATAGATGACGTTGTTGAACGTAAATTGTACGTTGAGTGTGCATCTTAATAGCAACTCTTTCAGGTATGGGGTCGGTATTTCGATACTCAGATTTTTGTCATCCATATACTTGCAAAGGAAACAAATTCTGTCTGTGAGTGGCACATTCGTAAATAGAGATTCCACGTCCAGTGATAACATTCGTTTGCCATTTACATTCAAGTCTTTTATGCACTCAATAAATTCGAAAGTATCACATAGAGAGTACTTACAGAATTGTCGTCTCACAGGCTCCAGCATCTCGGACAACCATTTGGCAATCTGATGTTACGGTGATCCCTCCATGTCTAAAATTGCTCGAAGTAGTAGGTCTGCTTTGTGTACCCTTGGTAGACCGTCAAGTCGAGGATAATTGATCCTGTTGGTCTCAGACGTTAAAATAGGTCCTCAGTTATGAGGCAGTCGTTCTTCATTCTCCTAAGAAACATTATACTCGTTGGAACAAGTCTTAAGTTGGTAAAATTATCGAAGGATAAGAGTCCCCTTCTGACGGCTCTGTTTCCAATTAGCCATTCTAGGCATTATGAACTACGAAATGAAGGAGCAATTTCTTAGTTCTTCGTTGGTGTATGATTTTTGTGAGGCAAAAAGTCTGCTAATTCTAAAATTCTCAAAACTATCTGGAAGATTTTGAAGAGCACTTATAAAAGAAATCCACTGGGCTAATTGTCGCTCCACGAAGAGTTGATTAATTTCCCAAACAAAGCCTATTTACTGATGCATTTTCAATCATTAAACCCGCTGTTTTTATTTTATTTTAAGTACAGACTTAGCATAATATGAGGCTGCACAGCAATTGTAAAACAACAGTATAGTAGTATTAGATGGTTGGAGGCAATCCTTGGACCTAAGTTTCTTGCTAGTTTGCATTTGTCAGCAAGGTGTATCTGCAATCTTGAAGAAACAACTTATATCCCTCCTGAGATTCGAACTCTTGTTATCCAGTGTGAGTACTACAGTAGTCAGAGAGAGAGAGAGACGTTACCAGCACTGAGCACTTTTTGGACTCGCGATTGACCTCCTGTCGGATACTTTGGTTGGACGCGTGAGCTTGAATCTCAGAAAGGATAAAGGTTTATTCAAGGTTACACGCATACGCTTTGGTGACGAATTGCTAACTAGCACAAAACCTAAGTCTAGGTTATTAGGAATATATCACCCTGGCACCCAAGAAAATACTGTACATGAGCTTGGAATTCAAAGGTGACTTAGCTTCTGATATCATGAAAAGAAGGATATCACAGTACCTGAAAAAAAACATTCCCTGTTGCATCTCTGAGAATAGCCTTTTCCAGTCGACCTGAAGGACAAGATCCCGCTGTTGACCGACTCTATGTGTGTGTTTATCAATTCACCTGCTCACGTGGAGGTAGGTATATCGGTCGTTCTACTCGAGTTTTATCCAAGAGGGTGCAAAAACACTATCCTGCATGGCTACAAAAAGGTGGAAGTGGAGCAATAAGAAGCGCGATCATTGAACATCTGGTAGATAATAATCACCCTATCTCTATAGCCTCCTCCTTTAAAGTCATCTACAAGGCAAGAAGTAATTTACCCAAATCACTACGTACCCGACTCATCTGCATTGCTGAAGCAGCTTTGGTTATCGAGACAGAAAAGCCAGGTCTCTGTGAACAGAAAAAGTTCTTTCAACCCCTCCAACTTGCATGGTCTTAATCCGTCTATGCTAAATTAAGGTGTTCCCTAATCATATTTGGCTCTACCATTTTTTTTTCACTTTTTCTATTCAGTTTGTATACTGTTCCTTTATTACGTCTATTGTTACTATTACCATTCTCACTTTGAACTGTTCCCGGTATTATTTCACTTGTTCCACTTGTCATTCTGAATCAATTCTTTTTTTACAACGATAAATTCTATGCTATCAAATTTCACACAATGTTACGTAACGTTTTTGTTTCATTCGATTTGTCTGCTAATTCTTTAATTGCACACCCTTTCCAAGTTCTATCCATCCCATGAATCATTCTATATATGACAATAATTTGTTTTTTGCCACTTGACATTTAACTATGATTATAATCACAAACATTTTAGTTTTAATTGCATTTCATACTACTATTATTAATATTATTTTATGCATTCATTCACACCTATGATTCGATTCGCTCACCGGATATAACTTCTTAAAAACAATGTGTATACGATTGTACAGCTTGATAATAAATTCGTTGGAAAGAGCCTCTTCGCTGAATCACTTGTTTTTTCTAAATTTTCTAAATTAAGAATATCATCGGTGATAATAGGCAGCCTTGTGTTACTGCTTGGGCACTGTGGTATTAAGTAATTCTATATATTGTTTTTTTTTCTTTTATTAGATATATCACACACATAGTGAAACAGTATTATTTACTGGGTGATGTTTCGAACAAAATTTATTGTTCACAATCAATTCAATTATGATATGATTATGAAGAATAAACTGTGTTCGTAAGTCTATCATCCAGTAATCAATAATACTATTTCACTGTGTGTGTGTGTGTGATGTATGTAATAAATAAACTAATATGGAATTGTCCTACTCATGTATGCACTTCGAACGCTACATATTTAATTCAATTTACACTATCCCATGTGATTGATTAGCCTGAAGTTCCCCATCGTTAGGTTGACATGTCCGCGGCTCCTTATGTCTGTAGATGTTTCGACGATATCGGATTAATTTAACTTGAAGTAAATCTGTGGATGGTAATTAGCGGTGCTGAACATCATCATGGACTGCGAAATTTAAGTAGATCCAGATGACTGAGGAATCCCAAAATAGGACAAAATAAACAGCCTAGTGGGTTGAACTGCTTGTTGCTACATATTTGCTTATCATTTGTGTGTGTGTGTTTTAGTTTACATAACACACAATAGGGGATTATCACTTATTATTTGTTTTTCTTCTCTTCACCTAGACGAAAATGATCCCACAGACGCTGTTCGATCCTCATTTGACCGTAAGTTGTTTTGTGTGTGTGTGTGTTGCTTATTATTCGGTTTAGCAATAATATATTTATCATTAGTACAAGACATTTATTATTATTATTATATTATTTCCTTTAATTCCTAGAGGAACATAGAGATTCAACTGCACGTCTCCATAGCGTTTGGCTCCCTGCCATCGTTTTCACCCCGCTCCAAGTCTGTCCACACCATTTCATCTCCTCCCCTTTACATGACCTTCTCCAAGTCACCCTCACGCTGACGACCAACTTGCCGCTTCCTTTCATGAGTTCCACTCGAGCGATGGCTTGCCTAGTGATGCCACTCACTTGGTGGTTTCCTCAGAGTATGGCCAGCCAATCCACCTCCATTTCTTCCTACGTATTTGTTGCACAATCGGTTCCTACTGAGTTGGTTCGCTCATTGCCAGAGATCCCTCGCTGTTGGTGATCTTTCCTGGTAGGCCATCTGATCTTGATTGGTATTGAGCGAAGGCAGCTGTTAATGAAGGTCTGTAGTTTGTTGGATTGTAGTTAGTTGGTTGGTTATTTTCATAACCTCCGTCTTGTTCAACTATGTTCACCTGGAGTCCTGTCCTGTCTTCGCTGGCTGATTCTTCGACCAGTTAGTCGGTTTTCGCTTGCTTCTAAGTCTTCGATTCTGTGTAATATCAAACATAAATCATCTAGTTTCTTCACGTCGGTCCAGGATATCCCTGTCTTCTCGTTTCCCACTGACTGTCTGACGCATAATCCAGTCAGTTCACTACGATTAGGAATATCATTCATTGGTGATAATAAGCGAGCACCCTTGTCTGACTCCTGTGTTTACTAGGAACGCCCCACTGAGTTTTCCGTTGTGGGTCACTTGATACGTGCCGCTGTCGTACAGGTGTTGAATGAGGTTGATGAATATTTGGGCGCTGCACGCCGTAGTACTCGAGTAGTTTCCGAATTAGATCGAAAAGTAGTTGAAAAACAACGATTGCATTGAGAAATTAACAATTGCGAGAGATCTGAAGACTAAAATATCAGACAAATCACAGTAAGAGAAAGGTGTATCTTCATTCAACTCGCTTTTAAAGGGGATAATATTGCAGAGATAATCAACAGAAGATTAGCTACGTCACCATCCAGAGCCTCTCCTGAAGCTTAGCTAGGCTAGTTCTCGATAACCGAAAAACAAAGTGCTCCTTGGCGGAGGCGAAAGTCGGCAGATACCCTTCTCATATTTAACAACTTTAACTGTATATACACATTCACGTGTATCTACGGGAGAAACTGTATTGGAAGAACAAATCAAAGAAGGACACACCCTCAATTTTCTGAACGTACATATCGAAATTCAGTCTATGCCTCAAGGAAAGAAATGCTTATAACAGTGCAATTTCAATGACGTCTCATCAATGCTGATCAGGATGATGAGGAAGTTGACGAAATGCATTAAAATTATGAGCGGATAAAAATTCTTCAAGCCTCCTCAAATCTGACCAAAACAATCTCTGTCAACCTCCTGAAACCCGATATATCATCAGTCTTTCCTTACCCTGCTGCCTGGTAACTAGATTTCTTTACATGCTTTCACTCCTTCTCTCTCTCTCTTTCAGTTGATTACACTTTTCTTTTCTTTGGTGGCTTTGATTGTTCTTCAAGCGCTGAATTTTATTGAAAGCTCTCAACATGAAGTATAATTCTCAAGTCATTGATGAGAATTAACTTTTCATCGACATTGCTTATCGACTTCAAAGGTCCCTTCAACAGTGCACTTATGTACATAGAGTGTATAGAGTACATTTTTCTATTCCTTCCCGAGGATACCACGACCTGATATTCAGCATAATTCTGCACGGGTCCTGCCAAAGACACCTAAGTTACCCAATGTACTCTTCTAGTTTGTTAGACGAGGTCCACTATATTCCAGTCAGTACCTACCCTTCTTCCGAACACTTACCAACATGGTTTTACAAAGGAGAAAACGATGCTGCCATGCAGCTCTATCTTAGAACATCTGATAGATTCCGGACACCAAGCTACACCCCAAACAGACTTCAAAGTCGTCTACAGAGTGAGAAGTAGTCTTCCCAAAAGTTGTACGAATCAGACTTCTTCAAACTAAAGCAGAAACAATGGTGATTCACTTGCTAAACCCTGAACTCTGCACACAGAAGAAGTTCGTTCAATCATTATACTTACAATGGACGTAATCTATGTTATTACCCGACAAGTAAATTCTGACTTATGTCTTTTTTTCTGTCTCTTCGTTGGTATTACTTTGTCTTCTCAATTGTAATATTTTATATTTTCAACTTTCTTGTTCTCTACCCCCACGCGGTTTAATTTCTACACCTCACTACCACTGTTAATGACTTGACCAACACTCAATTTCTAGTCATTCATTTATGTTACGTCATCCAACTTATTTGCTCACTTTCAGTTCTAATTTAAATGGCATTTTTCTCTACCCCACTTCTAATTAATCTCTCTCTCTCTGCCTGTAATTACCTCTGTTGCTATCCTGACCTAAGTTGACACATTTTACTCAATTACATATTACGTCATCTAACTTACTAACTAACTCATCCTACTTGAGTTGGTGCCTGATTAACCTTGTTTCTATATTAGATCATTCTTTTATTCAAGTATTATTGGCTTGTAGGGAATTGGTTGATTGGTTACATGATTTAATCATGAGCTGACATCAGTTAGAGGACCACTGGAAAGCCTCCTGGGAGTACTGGACAGCTGTTTCGTCCTAGTGTGGGACTCTTCAGCAGTACGTAGATAGGTAGTTACCTGGGGTTCCAGTGGGAAGTCGTGACCAGTAAGGTGTAGAAGGTCGGGTGTGAAGACAAATACTCACCGAAGACATTGGCTAGGGGTCGCGCTGTGTCGTGAATTGGAAGAAGTCAGAATTCATGGGCCACTGGATCGGGTCCCAGTGGCTGAATGGTATACGTGCTCGCCTTGTAACCAGAAGGTCCTGGGTTCGAACCCTGGCGGTGGGTGCGTACTGATGAAGAGTCCCAAACTAGAATGAAACAGCTGTCCACTACTCCCAGGTGGATTTCCAATGGTTCTCTAACTGATGTCAGCTCATGATGAAATCATATAGCCGTTCTCTTATCACCTGATCAATTATCTCACCTTGATAAACCTCATGTACACACACACACACACAAACAAATAATTATACATAAATGTGATTGTACAGCTAGTTATGTGAATGAATTCGCCGTCGTAAAAAGAGTCTCTTTTCGCTGAACGTCTTCTCTTGAAAATATTTTAACACAAAGTTTTTCCTATTAAACATCAAACGTCAAATGATTGAAACCACATTCATTCGCTTCCAGTCAGCACCTACTCTTCTTCCTCCTCCCTGAAAACTCTATTCCACCTCCACACAGTCTCATATGCCATACTCCGTCCAGTCTACCACATATATATACACACACACACATTTAACACCCACTACCAAACACTGGATGCTGATATTATTATTATTATCTTGCGCTTTCAAGCAATGCCCTTCTTCTTCTTATTATTATTCTTCGGTATTTAGATGTATATTCATTGCCTTGCCTCTATACACATATAAAGGTACTCCTGAGTGAGTAAATAAAATCGCTACAGAAATAGTCTCTCTCTCTCTCTCTCTCAGGTAAACACTCATTGCTGAATCGCAGTATTGGTGTATATATATATATTGACTGCATTTAGCTTTGCTTTGCTATGCTTTGATCTCGTCTGATCAGTTTGTGTGTGTATGTGTGTATATACATATATATATTTTTGTTTTCTATCATTGTTTTTCATTCCACTAACTATCCAACATCATCGTTTCTTTACATGAACATTGTAAATATTCTTTATTATTATTATTATTTGTTATCTTTAGTAGTAGTAATAGTAGTAGGTGTGTGTGTGTGTGTTTAATGCAAATCCGTGTGTAACACACTTTCATTCTTGTTGAACGACTGAGATAGCACATTTAAATACACATTTGTGTGCATTACATCCACGTGTCACTATTCATTCCATCAGCTTCTCTCTCTCTCTCTCTTTCTCTGAGACAAACGAAAATGTAAATACAATAATCCTCAGACTCAACTGTCAATTGCATTTTTATTTATTTATTCGCATACATTTTGCTTCCCTTGATAAATTTCGATACAGCTCTGAAGAAAGAAAGAAAGAAAGCGAGAAAAAAACAACCAAAATATGCAGTAGAAAATCTGATCGATTGATTTGAGAATCTAACTACACTCTCTTTCTGTGTGTGTATGTGTGTGTGTGTGTGTGTGCGTGTAAGGCTTCATGGCTGAAAAATAGGCTAATGAATTCACCTCCGAAAAAATCCTCTCCGTTGAACCCTACGTGTTTCCCTTTCATGATTACTGTCTGGATGGAGATTAATCTCATGAATTTGAAAACACAGACACTGCAGACATGCATATTGTGAATGATGATCAACTTGTCCTCCGACTTCTTACCATTACTCATTCACTCACTACTTCTTTCACAGTAGCACACACACACTGATCAATAAAATGACTGGTGTACAGAGTTGAAGTTGTTGTTGTTGTTGAAAGGAGAGAAAAAGAAAATAGTAGAAATGATCAATACGATAACAAAACATGCATAATAATAATACACAGTGAATGAAAGGCTAATTGAAAAGTGTTTATATGCTTGCGTAGTTGGGACTATACGGATCAGAGATTTGGCCAGCGAATCATAAACAGCACCTCCAACAAACTACACACCTTCATTAACAGCTGCCTTCGCTCAATACCAATCAAGATCAGATGACCTGTCAGGAATGATCAGCAACAGCGAGGGATCTCTGGCAATGAGCGAACCAATCCAGTAGGAACTGATTGTGCAACAAATACGTAGGAAGAAATGGAGGTGGATTGGCTGGCCATACTCTGAGGAAACCATCAAGTGAGTGACATCACTAGACAAGCCATTGCTCGAGTGGAACTCGTGAAAGGAAGCGGCGAGTTGATCATCATTCACAATATGCATGTCTGCAGTGTCTGTGTTTTCAAATTCATGAGATTAATCTCTATCCAGACAGTAATCATGAAAGGGAAACACGTAGGGTTCAACGAAGAGGATTTTTTCGGAGGTGAATTCATTAGCCTATTTACAGCCATGAAGCCTTACACGCACACACACACACACACAGAAAGAGAGTGTAGTTAGATTCTCAAATCAATCGATCAGATTTTCTACTGCATATTTTGGTTGTTTTTTAACTCGCTTTCTTTCTTTCTTTCTTTCTTCAGAGCTGTATCGAAATTTATCAAGGGAAGCAAAATGTATGCGAATAAATAAATAAAAATGCAATTGACAGTTGAGTCTGAGGATTATTGTATTTACATTTTCGTTTGTCTCAGAGAAAGAGAGAGAGAGAGGCTGATGGAATGAATAGTGACACGTGGATGTAATGCACACAAATGTGTATTTAAATGTGCTATCTCAGTCGTTCAACAAGAATGAAAGTGTGTTACACACGGATTTGCATTAAACACACACACACACACCTACTACTATTACTACTACTAAAGATAACAAATAATAATAATAATAATAAAGAATATTTACAATGTTCATGTAAAGAAACGATGATGTTGGATAGTTAGTGGAATGAAAAACAATGATAGAAAACAAAAATATATATATGTATATACACACATACACACACAAACTGATCAGACGAGATCAAAGCATAGCAAAGCAAAGCTAAATGCAGTCAATATATATATATACACCAATACTGCGATTCAGCAATGAGTGTTTACCTGAGAGAGAGAGAGAGAGAGAGACTATTTCTGTAGCGATTTTATTTACTCACTCAGGAGTACCTTTATATGTGTATAGAGGCAAGGCAATGAATATACATCTAAATACCGAAGAATAATAATAAGAAGAAGAAGGGCATTGCTTGAAAGCGCAAGATAATAATAATAATATCAGCATCCAGTGTTTGGTAGTGGGTGTTAAATGTGTGTGTGTGTATATATATGTGGTAGACTGGACGGAGTATGGCATATGAGACTGTGTGGAGGTGGAATAGAGTTTTCAGGGAGGAGGAAGAAGAGTAGGTGCTGACTGGAAGCGAATGAATGTGGTTTCAATCATTTGACGTTTGATGTTTAATAGGAAAAACTTTGTGTTAAAATATTTTCAAGAGAAGACGTTCAGCGAAAAGAGACTCTTTTTACGACGGCGAATTCATTCACATAACTAGCTGTACAATCGCATTTATGTATAATTATTTGTTTGTGTGTGTGTGTGTGTGTGCATGAGGTTTATCAAGTTGAGATAATTGATCAGGTGATAAGAGAACGGCTATATGATTTCATCATGAGCTGACATCAGTTAGAGAACCATTGGAAATCCACCTGGGAGTAGTGGACAGCTGTTTCATTCTAGTTTGGGACTCTTCATCAGTACGCACCCACCGCCAGGGTTCGAACCCAGGACCTTCTGGTTACAAGGCGAGCACGTATACCATTCAGCCACTGGGACCCGATCCAGTGGCCCATGAATTCCAACTTCTTCCAATTCACGACACAGCGCGACCCCTAGCCAATGTCTTCGGTGAGTATTTGTCTTCACACCCGACCTTCTGCACCTTACTGGTCACGACTTCCCACTGGAACCCCAGGTAACTACCTATCTACGTACTGCTGAAGAGTCCCACACTAGGACGAAACAGCTGTCCAGTACTCCCAGGCGGCTTTCCAGTGGTCCTCTAACTGATGTCAGCTCATGATTAAATCATGTAACCAATCAACCAAATCCCTACAAGCCAATAATACTTGAATAAAAGAATGATCTAATATAGAAACAAGGTTAATCAGGCACCAACTCAAGTAGGATGAGTTAGTTAGTAAGTTAGATGACGTAATATATAATTGACTAAAATGTGTCAACTTAGGTCAGGGTAGCAGCAGAGGCAGTCACAGTTAGAGAGAGATTAATTAGAAGTGGGGTAGAGAAAAATGTCATTTAAATTAGAACTGAAAGTGAGCAAATAAGTTGGATGACGTAACATAAATGAATGACTAGAAATTGAGCGTTGGTCAAGTCATTAACAGTGGTAGTGAGGTGTAGAAATTAAACCGCGTGGGGGTAGAGAAGAAGAAAGTTGAAAATGTAAAATATTACAATTGAGAAGACAAAGTAATACCAACGAAGAGACAGAAAAAAAAGAGATAAGTCAGAATTTACTTGTCGGGTATTAACATAGATTACGTCCATTGTAAGTGTAATGATTGAACGAACTTCTTCTGTGTGCAGAGTTCAGGGCTTAGCAAGTGAGTCACCATTGTTTCTGCTTTAGTTTGAAGAAGTCTGATTCGTACAACTTTTGGGAAGAGTACTTCTCACTCTGTAGACGACTTTGAAGTCTGTTTGGGGTGTAGCTTGGTGTCCGGAATCTATCAGATGTTCTAAGATAGAGCTGCATGGCAGCATCGTTTTCTCCTTTGTAAAACCATGTTGGTTAGTGTTCGGTGATAGGTTTGGAATGCGGTCTCTGGGTACGGCTGATATACGTGGCTGCACACGAGGATGTGAATTGGTAAATACACATTGATGTGGCCGGCATTGATAGCTTATCCTTCAATTTCACTTGAATAGGTTTTTTTGAAGAAGTTTAGTCGTAGTTCAGCTGCGAAGAATGTCTTCTGAAGTGAGGGTGACAGTTGATTCCTAATATATCCGGAGATATATCTACATTGAATTGAAGATTCATGTTAGTAGTTTTTTTCGGAACGCTAAGCATGGGCGGCTTTGTGTCTAGGATTCCGGGACTTTGCAATAAGTCTTTCTGGATAACAATTCTCGAGTAGGATTCTCTTGAGATTGTCTAGTTCACCTTCTATGGTGTTCGGGCTACAAATTCTGCGAACTCTGTAGCTGAATGAATGGATCAGGTTTCATACATTTGGTTCCCTTGACAAATTTTGATAGAGAAAGAAAGACTAGATTTGTAGTATAAAATGATATCAATCTATTTCACAGGTTCTCGTCACTTGCAAACTACCTGAAATTACAATGGTTACAAATAGTAACATTTCATACTTCATTGTTTGAAAGGTAATAGAGAAGATTTTATAAGGTGAACGCATCTGGAATATAAGTATTACAATTATTTTAGTTTAAGTCACCATCAATTTATATACTGTCAAACTATGAAAAAATAAAAAGGAGGTGGGGTGAAAGAAAACAGAAAACCGAAAAATCTAATAAACAGTGTCAACATGGCAACTCAAGAAGGTCAAAGTTCATCAATTTGAAAACTTGCTTAGTGAGTTGAGCTCACTAGTGTGTATAACTAATCAGTGTAATGAAAGTGATATGGTTACCAAGGAAGTGAGAGATTGACCACACACAAGTGTGTGTGTGGTAGTTTGCAGGTGATGAGAACCTGTGAAATAGAATGATATCACTTTTTATACTGCAAATGTGGTCTTTCTTTCTGGATCAGGTTTCGTTTGGTGTATAGGGGTACCCAACTATAAAATTTAGTAAGCTGTCCGTTCCACGTCGACTTTATGTAGATAAATAGATATTTTCAGTGTTTCATCCTGTTCTCGTCATAATAGCTTATTACCTGATCAATTATCCAAACTTGACAAACCTCATGTACACACACACACAAACAAACAAATAATTATGCATAAATGCTATTGTACAGCTATGTGAATGAATTCGCGGTAAAAAGTCTCTTCTCTGAACTTCTTCTCTTTTTCATATAACTCAATGGGTATTTTCAAGCTTCACAAAATATCTTAAGCCTGGATTGTTGGGTAATCTCATCACTGCAACCCTGTTGTTCTATTACTCAGCATAGTACATCTCTGATTACTAAAGAATATTGACTAGTCAATAGTAGTCGGTGTGTGTACTCTTTGTCTTTTTGTTTAGCATTTCCTTCGCTTCCGATTGGAAAAGATGGCTGACTTCAAGATATCATCTCCACCGTGTTTTATTCTCTCTACCGTCCGCTTCATCTGGCTAGCTCCTCGATTACCTATAATCTGTCATCTCTTCTTCACACGATCCCCACGTCATTCTCGTACCCAACGACATACTTGTCACTTCTTATCAGCATTCCACCCTTGTCGAACAATGGCTTGCATTGAGCGCAATGTCGGCTTTAACGGTCTCCTCAATGTATGCCCCAATCAATCCATCTTTCCATTTTGTCCTACATAATTTGTTGAGCAGTCAACTGGCTCTTGGTTGATTTGTTCATTGCTAGAATCTCTTGTTACTTATTCTTTCTTGCCGGCCAGCTAGTGATTTGATCTTCAGTATGGAAACCAACCAACCAGTGGAGGTGGCAGCTTTTGATAAAAATCTCCAGCGACTTGTTGGAAATCCTTCTAGTGGCATGCACTGCAAATTTCGGACTCATCTAGAAGCACTAACCGACTAACTTAACCGACATTTGTGTTGAGTAGAATCCGAATGTTGTTGTTTGTGCTGAAACGGAGTGGAGGAGAAGATTTCCAGACTGGTATCAGGTTGATGAAACCGTGCGTATCTTGCTTGTCTTTCCGATTCTAGCTGGATAGTTTTTGGGTAGTTTTGAAATATTCATTCGTCCCGACTTCCTGCTGCCTAACCAGACAAATCAAAGACCGGAGGTTGCCTCTATCAAATTTCTCGCGTTGATCACCCACCCCCTTTGTCTTCTCTATTTACACCTCGATGGAGTCCTCCGTACTCTGCCTGCCAGCTTCTTCAGCCAGTTTTCTCGCCTATCTCTAAGCCTTCAAGTTTTTTGTGTGCTATTAAAACGCCAAAAATCACATCCACAAACGCGCAAAATCCACAGTTTCTTCTACAAGAGACAATTTTCTTATCATATAGAGACACGACAAAGACGACTACTCAAACCCAACTTAAATCTGAATGAACTAATTTTTGCTTTCTTATTTTCTTTTTTCTTTTCTGTTTCAGCAGTAGACTTACACATCGACCAAAATCGTAGTTTTCAAGTTTTCCTTCAACAATTCCACGCCTTGATCATAAAGCGTTATATATTTACAAAGCGGAATATTGTATTTTTCTTAAGTCAAATTGCTGTGCCTATTGGCTTCACTTTATTCGCTTTATACACATTTCGTCGGTTACTGAGCTTACAAAGTGAACCTGAACCACGTTTGCTTTTGTCATTAGATCCATACGGTGATAATGGCTTGCTAGTCAGTTATAGTAATGAAGTTGAAGGTGAGGTAGAACATCGTATCGCCAGTCAGTTTATTGATTCGTATGCTGGCCAATTCAATCGTAAGCAGGTGAAACTAATTGAATTCAATAAAACCACTGGAGATTATGAAGTAAGCAGGCTATGCCAGTTCATACTTTCATTTAATTAATTCATTTATTTAATTACATACATAATTACACGTGCTTGTTATTGATTTTTTAGTTTGTTTGATTTTATTTTAGAGACACACACACATGTGTGTGTGTTATTCCATATTCGATGTGTTTATTTCAATATTCATATACTGTCTGTCTGTTTTCGACGTAGAACTTTGCACCGATGTGCACCAGATCAAGTCGCCACACTCCCTCCTTGTAGCACACAAAGCAAGAGAAGAAAGTAGAAGAAATGCATAATAGAGACAGTAAACAGAGGTGTGAGACAAAGGAATAATAATAACGAAGAACAATACAGTTTCATTGGAAATCATAAGTCACAGGGAGTGGATACATCTTCGCCAGCCATTGAGAACGATGAGTTTGAGCCATATCACCAATTGTTTCCAGCCTTCATTGGTTTTTACCGTCCTGAGGACCCCAACCAGTCAGGAAGTCTACACCTTCCTACATGGCTGGCTTAAACTAACTGTTGTAGATTTCATTGACTGGTGAGGCCATGCTTTGGTCTGACCGCCGCTAGCTGTTTTCCAGCCTGACCCTATGTCAGCTAACATAGATATCCACACATAGTGATAATAATTCATTATTAACAACCGGATGACAAACAGACAAGCTGTCCAGCATAAATTATTGCCACTCATAATCACACCAGTCAATTTTAGTCATACGTTTTCACAATTTGTCCTACACGTAAAATTTCTCCCTTTATTCGTGTTGTTTGTTGTCACTTTCCATATCTCCGATATAGGCGCGGCGGCGTTGCGTCATTCCAACTGCTGCACGTGTGCGGTGCTGAATCGATGATAAACAAAGCTTCAGTGATGATTAATTAACCTATCTTTGTCTCGCTCCACCTAACTAACTATATAACTTTTCAGTGCTGTCACCCTGTCCCACCCACCGTATTGTGTTGTTACATGCAAGGGTTACGTGCAGTGTAATCGACAAGGTCTCACGTAGAATTCTCAATGACGCCGGAATTAGTCAGGATGGCATTTATAGCAACCAACCAACTCTCTCAGAGATAAAATTTGTCTGTCAGCATAAGAATCCGATAGATGCAATTAGGAAAAATAATATAATTTACAAAGTATCATGTAATACTGGCTTACGGCGAATGAGGTGAGTTACATTGACCCCTTCAAACTAGTAGTAGATTAGGGTCAACTAGATTATTGGAACATAAAAATTTAACCAGATCTAGAATATTTGACCCTGCTAAGTGTGTAGGTTAAATAACCTAGAAAAAACTGAGATCAGCCATTGCAATGCGTGGAATTCACTTGCATGGAATCACAAAGCAAATAGGTTGGGTTGGATGATAATAGGGTGACAGTATTGATAAGTTATATAGTTACTTAGGTGGAGTGAGAGACACAGAGAGAGAGAGAGGTTAATTAGTCACTGAAGCTTTGTTTATCATCGACTCGACACCACACACACACACACACGTGCGACAATCGGAATGACATAACGCCACCGCCGCCTATACCGGAGATTCGCGAAGTGGTAAAAAACAACACGCGGGTGAAGTTGTAAAGAGAGAGAGAGAGAGACAGTCAGAATAGAGGGAGGGAGAAATTACACGTATAAGACAAATTGTGAAACCTTGTGTAACTGACTGATGTGATTATTGAGTGGCAATACTGCATCATCACCAATTTGTGTGTGATTAGATTATTAAAATAAACTTATCTAATATGGGAGAAATTTCTGCTTTTACGACTACCCACCAATGATAGTTTTGCTCTGAGTAGTTAGTTGTCTCACTCCTGTGTCCAGGATGAAGGTGAATGTAGCAACTCTATGTACAGGGTGTAGCGGCTGCTGCTACGGCCAAATGTCCTTTAACTAACCAATCATAATCCTTTAGCTGAAAAACGTTATTTGTAGAGAGTGTATTTATACGATATTATATAGACAAAGAATAGAAACGAATTATACAAAGTATATTATTATTATTATTATTATTTCCTTTAATTCCTAGAGGAACATAGAGCTTCAGCCGCGCGTCCCCATTGCGTTCGGTTCTCTGCCAACGTTTTCACTCCGCTCCAAGTCTACCCACACTCTTTCATCTCCTCCCCTCCACATGACCTCCTCCAAGTCACCCTCACGCTAACGACCAACTCGCCGCTTCCTTTTTCGAGTTCCACTCGAGCGATGGCTTGCCTACTGATGTCACTCACTTGATGGTTTCCTCAAAGTATGGCCAACCAATCCACCTCCATTTCTTCCTGATTATTTGTTGCACAATCGGTTCCTACTGGGATGGTTCTCTCATTGCCAGAGATCCCTCGCTGTTGCTGATCTTGATTGGTATTGAGCGAAGGCAGCTGTTAATGAAGGTGTGTAGTTTGTTGGAGGTGCTGTTTATGATTCGCTGGCCAAATCTCTGATCCGTATACTAGCAGTGACTTTACATTGGATTTGAAAACCCGAATCTTTTATTTGATGCTGAGTGGGGCTGTTGACCTTGACACAGACTTAAGAGTAATGAAGGCTTATCTTGCTTTCCCGATCCTTGCTTTGATATCTTCATCAGTTCGGTCGGCCTGTAGTTGAAATGATGTCTCCCAGTTAGGTAGGTAGGTAAAGAAGGTTGTTTCTTTCAGGTGCCTCCCATTTATGCTGATTGGTGTTTGTTGGTGTTGTTATTGCTGTTGGCCTGGGATCTTCATTACCTACCTCTGTTTTCTGTATGTTCACCTGAAGTCCTATCTTCTGCGGATGCTTCTTCTACTAGTTTGTTGCTTTTCACTTGCATATCTTCCAGTTTGTGGGAAATCAGACATATGTCATCATCGGCGAAGTTCAGATCCTCCAAGTTTTTTGTGTGAGTCCATTTTGTGCCTGTTTCCTCATCTTTCTACTTTACTTTACTTCGGCTATCTCCTACGGGAGGATGAACCGGCTTCATGAACATCTCGAATGTTTGTAAGAGAGTTGATGAAGTTTCATGGGAATTGGGTACGAGTGATGTCCCCAGAATCGCTCGGCCTTTTGTTTGAGAGTGCAGCTCTAGCCTTTACACAACCAACCAAGTGTGACCTACAAGGCAGTAGGAGTGGAGTAGGGAGTCCACTATCCATTGGCAGCCGGAGTCCGGTTCATACGCCTTTTTGAATGGGGCCAGACATCCAGGGCATCCAATAAGCTCTTTGTCCATATGTCTGCTGGTGAACTCCAGTGAGCTTCATACGCCAGTCGTTGGAGGTTTGAAATCAGGGTTTAGCCATCTCCCCTAGACTGTCATCCAATGGACAGTCAACCCGGTGGAGAGCGCCGGGCATCCGCTTTCGCCCTCTCACTTTGGTGAGAAACACCTCCGCCACGTGAAGGCAGTGAGTAGGACTTCCTCAGGAGAGGCTATGTAAGACGCACGGTCATATGGGAGCATTTCAAGAGGTGTACGGAGGGGTGGCTAGCCCGCAGCGCAAGACACCCACCCCCGACCATCCTGAGGCTTTGGAGGCCCGCTGTTTGTCGCATTATCCAATCTACTGCATATATATATATATATATATATATATATATATATATATATATAAACATGACTTGTTCTTCCTCCTACCTCTATTGGATTTTCGTTTGATTAGAATATATTGTTCCATCAGTGTGAATGACAACATCAACTCTACCTAATAGGAAAGCATTTCCGTTTTTCTTTCCTAGGGTAATATTCCGATAGTACTTATTCCATTAAGTGACTAACTGACTGACCGGTTTCAACATAGAACTTTGCACAGAAGTACGTCAGTTCAGCTTGTCACACAAAGGTCGAGAGGGAGGAAAAGAAGGTTCCAAAAAACTATAAGAAGAAGAAGAAGAATTGTGAGGGAGAAAGAATAGTAACATGGAAGAAGTTCAGGGTTTAAAGGATATGAGAGAGACCACTTCTATGTATCTATCTTCAACCATCGGTTTTTAGAATCTCGACAAATCCCAACCAAACGGAAGAGAGTAGTCTACACCTTCCTATGTAGATTAAATTAACTGTTAAATATTGTACAGGTGGATTTCATGTTTTCGCTTGACTACCACTAGCTAAATTCTTTTGCAACCTGATCCTGCCTATGTTATTAGCTAGCATCGTTCGTCGAGGAATGCTATGGATAGGATTGCATGCGTGATACATGTCCTAGCCAATCATCTCAATTGACGTAACTGCTTCACAACCCGTATCTGTTGGCTTCCCCTCCCCCTACCACCAAGTACTTGACCCGCCTAACTTCAATTTGATCACTCAGAAACCTATGATCAAAGACAATATAGAGAATTCTATTACAGTTAAGAAAGAAGACATATAATTACAATAGGATACCGCTTAAAAGTTTATCTTCATCTCCAACCACCTACCTACCTATCCATCTATCCAGTCATTGGATCGGGTCCCACTGAGTGGCTGCTTAATGGACTACTACGAGAGTTAGCTCGCCTTGTAACCAGAAGATCCTGGATTTGAACCCTTGTGATTGGTGCGTACTACCGATGATTCCCAAACCAAGATGAAACAGCTAGCTATCCATTACTCCTTGTAGGTTTCTCTTACCGATATCAGCTCATGATGAAATCTCCCAATTAATAATACGATCACAGTGTGTGTGTGTGTGTGTGTGTGTCACATCAAGTAGATGTATTCAAACATGGAATTACACGCGCGATTCAATCTACCAAAGACTATAGCGCAACCCTATGTCTTGCCATGGCTACCATGAAGAGCGAGAGAAACGAATCACTCAAAAGTGTCTACTTGCATCACAGATATTTATAATGAAACGCTTCTTATTTTTATTCTTCTCTTCAAGAGGGATACGGTAAAGTAAAATCAGAAAATATTATTTGACCACACCCAAAAAGTTATACTCTTATACATTAGATAGATGATGTTTCATCGGAGTTATCAATTTTTTCTTTTCTTGTGACGCTTACAGGTATAATTCACGCCCCATATCTTAATCAAAAACCACACAGTTTTCAAGAGTTGGTTTGTGTAAGAGTTAGATTTGTTTTTGTTCTTCTAGTTTGACCACGGATTGATCGATTGATTGATTGATTAATAACTCAGTTAGAGAAGCATTGAAAACCAGCTTCGGGGAGTACTGTCAGACGTCAGCTGTTTCATCAAGCAGCCTAGTTTGAGAGTCATCGGCAGCATGCACCCACCCCACCGAGGATTCGAACCTAAAACCTTCCGGTCGCGCTAAATGTATCACGAATCGGTAGAAGTCGGCTGACTGGCCATTGAATCGGGCGGGTACCAGTAGTGACTGGCTAGCTCGCCTTGTAACCGAAAGGTCCTTGTGTCGAACCCCAGTAGAGTGGAATGAAGAGCCAGTCACAAACTGGACTGCTGATGAAACAGCTGTCTGGCAGTACTCCCCGAAGCTGGTTTTCAATGCTTTCTCTACTTGAGTTATCAATCAATCCGTCGCTAAACTCGTAAAAACAACCAAAGTGATCTTTATTATTATTTTTTTTTGCAGTCATTATAGTCTGGTGTATTTTGTAAGCATGAAGCACAAATAATTCTAATAATCACTGGTGGTTTCACACCTAATCCTGTCGTTATTTCTTTTTTTTGTTTTATTTCGTTAACTAGGATAATCTCTTGAAGGAGATAGCTATACCGGATTTGTATAAATATCGTACAAAGTCAATTATTGGATTAGTTGTCGACACTAAATCTACCTTAAGAGATATCATCCTTTCTGTACGAGCATATTTTCAAGGTGAAGCTTGTCATGCTTCACCAGTTTCTTTGAATGCAGTCGGAAATGGTTTGCTGCGTTATTTTACTTCATATCAACAGGTAGGTTGTGTTTCATGTGATATGGATTGTGATTAATACTTTTGTACCATGAATGTAAATTTCAAATTTAACGGCATGCTTTACAGACAAGTGGACAGGGTGGCGATGGCTCCCCATTTGGTCTCATTCTAGCTGATTTCTTTCTAAGTAAGCTAGAAAATGGACCCCTGAATAACCTTATCAGTAAGCTCTCATTTTATCGCCGATATATGGATGATACCTTTATTCTTTGTGATAATGGTTCTGATAAGGGTACAATAATTACTGAATTCAATGAAGTACATTCGGGTATGAAATCCACAAGCGAAGAGGAATCCCAAGACAGAATTGCCTTCCTGGGTGTCCTACTTACAAGAAAACCAGATGGTAGCATAAAAAGAAATTTGCATAGAAAAAGCACTTGGACAGGACAATATACACATTTTCACAGCTTCGTTCCTCTTTCAAGTACGAAGGAAATTCAATGAAGACCCTCAGCCACAGAGTTAGAGCTATATGCTCAGAAGAAGTAATTGAAGATGAATTAAGCATTGTATATGATACTTTGATCGAAAACAGCTATCCCGGAAAATTTATCAAGAAACATATGAGAAAGAAAACAGAAAAGGGGTACTCTCTATCTGTAAAAAAGAAGCCTCTTTATATACGTACGACTGCAATTCATGGGTGATATACCAAGCGAGATAGTTGCAAAGAAATTAAGAAAATCAGTTCAAGGAACTTTTACTGCTGGCGAACTACACGTCTTATTCTCTACACGACCGATGGTGATTCCTTGACTGAAAGTTGAAGTACCTAGACTAGCTGGCCACTTCTAATTGTAAATATCAATTCAACTGCACTTGTGGAGCCAGTTATATTGGCCGTTGCTTTAGGAACTTGATTTTTTGTGTTCGAGAACATCTCCCAGCATGACTAAGTAAAGGTGTAGTGAATACTATTAACAGCTCGATATTGGAACATCTGGTGCAAACAGGCCACAAAGCCAGCGTAGATGAATCCTTCTCTATATTATACCGGGTGCCAAATAAATTACTGAAAACATCGAAGCATCAAATTCTCCAAACAGCAGAAGCTATCGCAATTCGCCTCAAACAACCAGCACTCTGTGTCCAAAAGAAGCAAGTCCAGCTAGTCCCTACTATTGCCCTGGCCTTCAGTAGAAACCATAAATTTGTAATTTGTAATATTATCCTTCCTAATTCTTCTGACATTCAGCTTATTGTTATGTTGATGCTATTGAACTGTAATCTATCAATGTGATTATTGATTCGATGTTATTAAAACAGCAACATTAATGTTGTTGTTCATAACACTAATTCATTCATTCACTATTATGGATGGATATATAACTGTAGAGCCTGATGATGAAGTTATCCAAAAGAGTACTCTTTGTTCAGTATCCATTATTATTATTATTATTATTATTATTATTATTATTATTATTATTATTATTAGTGTAAGCGCAATATATCGCTTGAAATTAAGTCACGCCTAGATAAAGGCTATTCCGGTCCAGAACAAACAAGAAGCCGATTACTGTTTCTACGGTACTATTAATAAACAAATCAATCATTACATATACAACAAACCTTAACGGTTTTAAGAGTACAAAGCACAACGCTTAACAGAAAGCAAAGTACCACTATCAGAGCGGAATAACGTTAAAGCCAAAACTGCGAACTAGCCGGAATCAGACACGACCGTTCAGGTAAGCAGTCAGTAGAGAAGAATGAACCCAAGTAAGGCATGGCATACAACAGAGAGCGAATTAAGAGATAGACAGAGCATAGGCACAAAGACAGAATTTAATTGGCTACTTAACCAGGTAGGAAGATACAGATAAAAATCAATAAATAAGATAAATTCTCAAGTATTGGTTTTGTAGGGATTTTGTTTGATAAACTCGACAAAATAGTACAAAGTTAGACATGGGTCAGCAAAAATAACAGTTCACAAAATACTCTGATTGGGTCATGAGTTCAACTGTCTGACTAAACGGATTGAAGTAAAAACACATACACACAGTTCATTAAACAAGAGGGGATAGACACGTTAGGCATGGATAATTGGGTTGCAACAACGTTAGGCTGATCCGGGACAGGTTGACTTGATTCAAGGATGGAAATTGAATTGATCTTACAATCAGTATGGTCAAGTTTGGCTCTCGGTAAAATTCTGGATGATCCAAACTGAACAACACCCGTTTATACCTTATCACACACGACTCTAAAATCACTTGTTAACTTTGTCACCTCTGAAGATTGTTCAAAATGTAGTACAAAATGGTACAGACAACAGTCAGTAGTTTTGATGACGTTGTGTGCACCAGCGGCAGAGTGGTTAGGGCTTTCGCCGACCAAACACATGGTCCGAGGTTCGATCCCCTGCCGACGCACACCTGATTTCAATGGTCGGCCTGCAAAATTTGGGCTACCGATATCACATGGTGAAAATTCCATACTTGTACCAAAAATATAATTTTTTTTTGATTTACAGCTTGATTCCACACTGTAATTTCGGTACAAGTATGGAATTTTCAGCATGGATATCGGTAGCCCAAATTTCTCAGGCCGACCATAGATATCAGGTGTGCGCCGGCGTGGGCTCGAACCCCGGACCATGTGCATGGTCGGCGAGAGTCCTAACCACTGTGCCACCGACGCACAATAATGTGTCGAATCAATCTGTAATCAAAATCAAATTCACTCGATGGTTTATTTGCGATGTCAGCTCACAATGAAATCCTGTAACCAATCCAATGAATCCCTAAAAATCAATACTTGAGTGATTTCCTATTCATCAGAATACCTCTGAATTAATCTATTTTTTAGTGTTTTCTTCATTGTCGAATTATGTTCCTTGCGTCGGTATCTGTACTGACTCGGATTTCTAAATACTTTTTTTTGTAGGAAAAATGAAGTAGGACAGTGCAGGTTTCTTAGAGTGTGTTTTGAAATGGGTGATTTTTGCACTGAGTTAGTTAGAGCATTGTGACACAAGAGAATTGATAGCCCAATGATATTCACTTCACCAATCACATGAAGGTGACAAATTCACGTGAGAGAAAAGAATTACAGTTAGGTACTGATAGTGAATTTTGTTCAGGGTTGAGGAGAGAATTTGTGTGTCCACAAAGCGTGTTTAACAAAACATTGATCCACAATCCCCAACAGTTACTATAAAATAACCATAATCGACCATAACTTGAACCTGAAACTTTACTAAGCCTAAGTTTTGCTCAACACCTGATCAGAAGTGTAGCCTGTGAGATTCAGCTAAGACAAAAAAGAGAAACAGATAAAGACCACTTGTATTCTCTCTCTCTCACTGGATACCTCGACAGATTGGCATGTAGCACTAAGTATCAAATTCAAAAGTGGTACGTTGCTCATTTCGAATGAAAAATATACCAAAGCTTCCTCTGAAAATTAAAGCCATCGAGATCGCACTGTGTTTTCCCTATTTGATTTAACTACATCGATATGGACGAAAATCACTCAAGACCAAATCACACATTCCTTCTCGAATTCCTAATACACCACAAGTGGTGGCGAACATTGAAATCCACACCGCACACGCACACACCTCCTAATTCGAAGTACTCAGATGAATATATCTGTGCATTTCAGTGAGTCAATCTTTTTCCCTATCGGACTGGAATTCTACACCCACCACTTCATGTCCGAAGACAACAGTAGATCAACCTGATATAACTTGTGTCTTGTGACTCCGTAGACTGATCAACAAAATTATCGGCTTTCGAGATGTTGAGCTTAGAACTGAATTCGGAAGAGAAATTCGAATGTCTGAGAGTGAGTAAGCGAGTGGGTGCATTCTAAATAATCTTGACACGCATAACGTGAAATTACACGGCGTTACTGTGACTCCTACTGATCAATCAAGTACAAACTAACGCTTAGCCCTAAACCCATGGAACGAATGCGAGTCGATATAATAACGCCATTTACAAATACTAAATCGCGTGGACAAGCGGAATTTCAACATCTATCCGAATCAGTAACGCACGCACAAATAACACAGACACGAAAATGTTAACTACGTGAATCCGATGAGACTAATTTAAAACACTCAATTATCCACCAAAGCAGTTTATTCCAACAAAACCATTGTACATGGCACAAGTGAGTTTGCTTTTTTCCCGACTAATTCACGAAGAGTTGAAGCGATCCAAGTGAACTGAGTCATTCCTTTCTCTGTGAATGAATTGATTAGGGGAATATCACATGAGATTAACCTACCTGCAATCAGTCGTGTTTCTAGAAAAGTGCATCAGCTCATGAACATATACGATAAGCATACAGCACAAGCAGAACAATACAGATATATACTCCAGACAGAATAACAACAGCCGCTCCATGGTTGACTTTTGAAAAAATGATTTTATTCTAGACTGCAAACACAATTATAAATTCTTTAATGAATACAACTCAGATGACGTAATCAGATTAAACAAAATATCCAATAGCGAGCAGGGAACTAACTGTCTTAGTGAACAGAGGTCACATTTACTCAAGTGTTTATTAATTTGTATACAAGGCAGAATTAAGACTATACATAAGAGATACGTGTTATAAAATCAATAATTCGCATGACTCATCCTTTTGTCATCTGTCGTTCACACTTTCGTTTCAATGACATATGACACAAATACGTAATCATCAACTACTTTGTGAAATCCTACTCTCATTATAACCAACTGGTTATTCCATGAAGTAATATTACTGTACAACACTGTGTGATTTAACAAAATAAAATCTTATCCATAATGGAGTTGTGCTATACCACAGTGGCCAAGTTTTTTTTACTTATATCAACAACTGGTTGTTCAGCTTAAATTTATCTTGGTAAAGTCATGCTGACTGCTACTATCCCACGTATTTCATGATTGCATCAGGTTGCATCCAGCTAACAAAACCAATGTGCCTACAATTGACGTAAAGCTTCTGTTGGTGGGTCACCTAATTTCCTCCTATTCA